AAAATAAAAAATGTAAATTAAAAAAAAAGTTTTGAAATTTTTCTTTTTTGGAAAAAAATTTAAAATTTGTCTACGCCAAAGTCTATTTACACACTATTGTATAAATTTTATAGCGCAACAATTTTTGTACAATATGAAAAATTTTTGCAAAACAGGTTATAAAATTTTCTAAAAAAAAACGTTGAAATTTTTTCGAAAAAACCATCGCTATAAATATTTATATTTACCTTATAAATTTACGATATTTTTAATTTTTATTTAAAATATCTTGTGGTTTGCAAAAAAGGAGCAGCTCGATAACTGTTTTAAGGTAAATTTAAAAAATTTTGAGTTTATGCAACTATCTTACATTTAAATACATATATACAAGAAATACACATAAAATATAATTCTACAACTACAAATTCACTATTTCCGATAAAAAATCTTCAATATCCGTATGACTGGCGCCTCGAACAAAACCGAAATGAAGAATGCCACACCGAAGGAGGCCACCGCATTCCCCAGAAAAATTGTCATTACGAAGAGATTATTCAGATGAACGATGCCACTCATGCGAAACGATGTGATTAGCATTATGACTGGGTGTATGAGGTAAGTGCAGTAGGTGAGACGTGAGAGCGGCCAGAGGCCACGATAGGAGAGTATACGATTGGCGGTGGGCGCAATGCCCCAACAGCAGGACAAAACGATCCAAATAAGGCCGACGCCGAATGCTACAAGACACAACAACCAACAAAAATATATAATGTAGTTCACCTCCTCGCGCTACCACTCACCTGTGTGGCCGATGCTAACATAGAACGCCGTCATGAGACGACTGAGCTCGCCGTTCCACACGCCGAAAATGATGATCGCCAACAGCGACCAGCTGCCCAACCAGAGTAGATAGTGGGTGCGGCTGCTTAGCGGCGGTGGTTTCTTCACTTTGTAGATTATGAGGCCGGCTAGCATGCCTGTGGGTTGAAAGGTGGAGTAAAAGGAATTACGTTTAATCACTTAACATTGAAATTTGCTGCATTAACAATAAATTTATATAAAATATTTTTTTTTATAGAAATTTTATAGATATTTTAATCCTGTCTCTTATACACATCTAGATGTGTATAAGAGACAGTTATTAAATAAACGAAAAATAAATTAATGAATATACAATTAAAAAAAATTGCAGAAAAATAAATTTTATAAATTTATATAAAATATTTTTTTTTTTTTTTTTAATAAAATTAAAAAAAATTTAAAAAATTTGTTTTATAATAAAATATTAATTCTGTCTCTTATACACATCTAGATGTGTATAAGAGCTAAGATCAAAGTGTAGTATCTGTTCTTATCAGCTTAACATCTGATAGATCCTCCATCGGAGGACAACAAATGTTAAACTGATTTTTGGAAAAAGGCGGAGTGTTTTAGGAGCTTGCTCCACCTCTGCCACGGGTTGGCCCGGTATTGCAGTACCACCGGGAATTCGGCCCAAATTATTGAATACATATCAGAAGTAGAATAAAAAAGAAGAAAGAATAAGTTTGTAAGTTTGTGATTCTGAGGTCATTGACTCGGTGTACAGAAATTGATTTTTTGGTATACGGAACTTAATTTGTCTATTGTTCTGACTTATGTTTAGTCATAAGCTTTCAAGGCTTTCAAAAATTTATTTGCCGTAATCAGATTTTATTTATTTTTTAGTATGACTTTTATAAAGAAAAAGTAATAATATTTTATTTATTTTTTACTTATTATTTGCGTGTTTAAAAAAATAACGGTTTTTGCATACATATATATCTGTCTCTTATACACATCTAGATGTGTATAAGAGACAGGTATATAACTATGGAATATTTTTTATTTTTAAAATTCATTTTTC